ACCGTACCATCCCCTCCCATAATAACCCTTACCTGGACAACACTGATCCTTCTAAATCATTACAGACCATAACTACCCTTTCCCCATCCTTTACCGCCCTTGGCGTTGTAGCCGGGCAAATTGGTGCGTTTCTGCAACACCTTCAACTGTCGGCCTCGGAACATAGTATCATTCAATAAGAGAGCATTCTGGACCTACAGTGAACGAAATGAATCAACTCGTTAGAGACACCAACCAACTCACTGCAGCTTCATCTCCGAATTCAATGTACGCGAAACCCTTCGGATGCCCACTATACTTATCAACCATTATCGTTATCCTGACACAGAGAACACTTCAACAATAACATAACAAGGCACACAGGGCAGTGCTTCGGACCAACTCGTTTGGAAAATTCTTATTTCCCAGAGTACGACTATATACGACAAAATATTTCTCTCGTAACACTTCTATTATGAAGTGACATTGGATTTTTTTCCTAGAAGTTCTATACCCCATACACCTACACCTGAGCTCAGTTACGCAACTATACCAACATAATCTACGGAACAGTACTCCAGAGAAAACCCCGTCTTTATGATTATCGTCTTCTTCGAACTAACAAAATTCATCACTTTGAATGCACATGGTCATTGAGCATTGCCAAACTACATTTGTTGGTGGCACTATGAAAATTCTGAGAATTTTTTGGTTGGTCTCCGCACCCAAATCCGCATATAAATTTTCATAATATAATACGAAGAGCTCGAGAAAAGCGACCATAAATTCCAACAGTACACAGACTACCATAAACCGGCCAAATCATTGAGACACTACCGTTGTATCGGACCACAGCTTTTAAAGTGTTCCTGTAGCTCCTCCGGTGCAGCGCCATAATCAACACTTCCAACATAAACCTACCCACCACCGTACCAACTCGACGCCTCTTCTACTCCCCTACAGATCGTTTATCCTGCTCCTGGCTTTGAGCTGCTTGTTGCTCCGCAGTCATCTCCGCATTTTCATGATCAGAAACACCATCACCGTCTCCCGTGCCTCCTGAAATAAATCTGTATAATAAATCCAAAAATATTATAAATTATCACTATCTTTTTTATCATATTTATATCTGGTTACATCCCAACTACCTTGTTCAGTCATTTGCCTTAACCGTTCCGCTTCGTCTTCCAACTCTTGTATTTTATGTTGCATTTCCATAATATCATCATCATCAACAACACCAGCAGCAGCGTCCAAGTCGATATCATCATCATCATGCTCAGCTTGGAGTCCACCTTTCACTATCGTGTCACCACCCAGGATGGCTCCGCTCTCTACGTTGGTCGACATTAAGAAAACCAATGCGTAAACCTATACGACCATCTACCTATCAACAATGGAATTTCACCAGTTTCACGTGAAGTGGCGTAATACTTGATGAAAAACCCGAAATTTACGCTATACAGTAGTCGTGGATTATGTTTCTCATATCACTAGGATGAAACTTCAACCTGTCTTCTTCTAATAGGCAAACAAATAGCCAATATAGTTTGTTTCACACTGCATACCACTCCTCCGCGAAATCACCCTTCATTCGAACACCCAAGATCGTTGTAGGTCACATCTAGTCGCCGTGTATGCGTCAATTTTCATTACTCACTAGCCCCCCCCCCCCCCCACACACTTCCTACTCCATGATTTCGTCCAAAATCAACCAAAAAAATCCTAAATTTGGAGTCATATGACTTTTACAGTAATTACATTTCGAAAATTTCACTTCCCATTTTATTCAGTTTGGATAGTCGACTTCGAAACTCATCACAGTAGTGATGGAAAAAGTGGTGGTAGTAATAAATGTAACGAGATGGCCTTCTATGGGAAAATTTTCAGAAAAAAAGCGAAAAAAATTTACAAAGCAAAAAAATCTGAAAATTTAGATAAAATAAATTTCCATATCGCATCTTTTTCTACTCCACTTTAACTCAACATGAAAAATTCAACAAAAAAAATTAAGATTTCTGTTTTAGGCAAGAAAGCCTGTTGTTGTTAACAATGCGAGAGACGACCTATGGACTGCCAACTCGCTGTACCATGAAGTGAAATATGACATGAAAATTTCCTCAAAGATCTCCGCGTGGTTTAACCCAATTTATTTTATGCTCAGGAGCTTCCAAATAGAATAACTTCATATCAACGCGATATCTGACACAAAGATACTTTTCTAGCCCCAGGGGAAAGATACGGATTAGGTCCACTTACTGCCTATGTTGTTGTACACAAAGGTTGCCAAGGTACATACCCAGCATAACACCGATTAACCAATCTCGGAAATAATGACGCGAGTAATAATCGCCCTGAAGTCTCTGACGATACGAATACCATCTCCCACACCAATTGACCTAAAATAAAAATGTGAAATCATTAGTGTTGAAATATACAAATTTTATGCAAAATTTCACACGACTTGATGAATAAAAACCAACAACAAATTCCTCCTTGTCATCAACACATATCTTCTCACAGAGCGCGCTGTGAAGATTTCCGGGAAGGTTCTGAATCAGCTTGTAGCTCAGATTATGTTACGGAAATTTAGAATTAATTTTCAAACTGCATGATTTTACGGAGAAAATTCTCTTCATATTTTTTTCTGAATTTTGCTACCGTTGATATTACGAGTGTGAACCAATCTATTGCTTTTGTGGTATTCTCTTTTCATCAAAAATCAATTTTTAATAACACTGAATCGATCGAAAACGTGTCGTATTCTCGAAATTGCAATTTATTTCGAAAATTGTACTGTTTGATTCGCTCTGTACTAGTGTTGGACTATGTATTTGGTTTTCTCAGCTGAGCTCAGGAGTGTCCTCACTAATTATTGGAATTCATATACAAATTCGGCTAGAAGTGTACAAAAACCAATAAAATTTTCCCAAAATTTTCATATTTTCAGGATGTACACATAAAGTTGACCATGTGCATATTCCCCCACCCCCCACATTTCAATGATAATTTTATTTTTACATATTTTTCCTGAGAAATCTCCTCATCTGTTCTGTATGGTAAAGGCAAACGACTCCTGTAGATTTTAAGTGGTTTCGCGAACTTGTAGAACATTTCTTCGTAATCGTCGTAGGTCATATCGCCCATGATCAACTGGAAAAAATAAATGAAAAAAATCACTTATAAAAATTTTACCTTATCCGTGTAAGGCTTCAGCTCGGGGGTGTCCTCACCCAACTTCTTGAGAAAAGGATAATATTGAGGTGGAACGTAGTAAGTGTGACGAATTTGAGTCGCTGAGAAATTCCAAATTATTCATACCACATTTCTTTCAAATCGTACATAGCTCAGGAGGGATGTGAGCAGGCACGCCAAACTCATCTCTGGGAATTTCCTCGAATTCGAAATCGGCTTCACAGTCGTAGTTAGGATCATCGTACTGCACTACGTAGTGGAAGGGGTAACCTAGGGTGAAGGTGATATACACGCGAGCAACTACGCGTGGCGAGTAAAGAGATTATCGCTGGTTTTTGTACACTTGAACTTTTATCACGTACTGAAAAGAAGCAATGTGAAGGAATACGCACACATAAACATCAACTATGCGTGTTGACGACAGTAAAAGAGATCTGTCCTGTATTCTTAACGCTATCAAGTCGTGCGTGAATTAGGTAGACCAACACACTGTAACAGTCTGAGTGAAAATGCACACGTGTCGAATGAGGAAATCCTTGTTGATTTTGGTACACTTTTAAGCCGTGTGTCAATTTTTATACCGTAACTTTGGCAACTCCTGAGCTGAGCTCGAGCAAGCTGGTTGTTGTTATAAAACATCATTTGCAACACCCAAGTGTTTACCGCCATTATAAGCCCCCCTCGTTTGAGTAAGCAGAGCTCCTCCTCCTCCACGTCCAACAACACCACCTCCACGCCAAGCTGCGATTAATGGGACTCCTCGACGGTGAAGGAGATGCGAAGTGATGATACGGGTGACCATCACGAAATATTCTACCAGGAAAAGGATCTTACTGTAAAAAAACCTAATCGATTAGAATGGCGCGCGCTGAATGCGTTACGCGCAAAAACGTACCTTGTGCTTACGTACAGGAAATGCTATCTGTTACAATCCTTTCCCCCTACACCGTACTTCAGAGAACTCAACCAACCAACTATAATAGATATTGGCCCAAACCACAAACCCGGAAATGTGTAGACTAAAGCTATAGTAGTAGTAGTTGGCTCCACTGGTTTGTTGACCACCTGATCCACAAATGCTGATCAACTAGTGGTGGAACGGAATACTGAATCCCGGTATCCAAACCTCAGCATTAGCCACGATCAGATACACAGATCAACATGACCAGTTGGTAAGCCAAGATACGAACTGCAACGTTGAAATAATGGTACTACAGCTTAGTCCCCAAAACTCTCCCAGGGTGGAGAGGGTGGGTTTAAAAGAAATTGTAGATTCATCACCAGAATCAATTAAAAAAACTACCACTAGAAACTTCATAGCTTAACTCGCACAATGACCCTTCAATAACACAAACAGCAA